CAGGTACTCTGTGATTCTTAATGCTGTGGTGGAACTACCATTTATATGGGGGGGTGTGTGTGTGAGTGACAGGAAGCCATGGACCTCCTACCGTTTGCAGTTTCCTTTGGATAGGAGAACTGCAGGCTCCATATAGCTCACTCTGGGAAAGATAAGTAAAAAGAAGAGGAGGCTTGTAGAAGTTGGACTTCTCAGAAGCATTGCAACTGGCTGATCTCCGGGCGAGAGCATTTACTCCCTCGGACTCCTGCTTACAAACTGTAGTGGTATAATGTCTTGCAATATCAGGAGCCATCTGGGCTGTAAAATGGGACAGATCTAAGTCATCTCTTGTCCCACTCAGGGTGCATTTGAGCCTTCCTTGACTGCAGAGGAAAAGAAAGGGCAGACCTTTCATAAATGTGGTGTTTGCCTTTCAGTCAGTGTCACAGGGGCCTTGTTCTTCCTAGTCTTTTGTGCTTTCCTTCCATACAGCTCATGTTTCTGCTGCAGAAGTGCAAGGCTGGCAGGGCGATCTTGTCTGGGACAGCCATGCCCAGAAAATACCCATAAAACCACCTCACTCTTCTTCAGCTTGTGCCTTGAAACTCCATTATATTTATCACATGCTCAAGAAAACCCCAGTAACACTGCCTCTGCCCCAAACAGTTGGGTCATGGTTCATTGAGATCATTGTTTCCCCTAAAATAAAGGTTTTATTTCTTGTACTCTCACTTCTGTTTTTCTCTAGCCATCTGTTCTCTTTTTGTCTTTCATTTACATTGTAAACTCTTTGAAGAAACAATTTTTTTTTGTTTGCTTGTTTGTTTTGCTCTGTTTTCTTTAGTGCCTTGCACAATGGGTTCTTCATCAATGTGTAGGGCTCACTGGTGCTTTAGCAACACTACTTCTAATTCTTGGTATTAATAGATATACTTGCAAATATTCTTCATTTGGTCTCTTGGCTATATTTTTTCCAGATAATTTTATTTGTCCTTATCACTGATCACAATTGTTTATCGAACTGTGTCTTTAGGAAAGACTTTCTAAACAAAATTCCAGTTACACAGATTTAAATCCATTTGAGGTTGAAAGAGTTCTTTCATCTTTCATACAATTCAAAAAGAAGTTAAAGATTTTTTTCCAATGCATCTTGCATCAGCAGCTTTTCCCACTACCTGTTTAGACCAATTTTTTTTTTTTTTTCCAAATAGATGGGCATGTTTACCCACCTGAATGTATTTGTTGTAACTATTGTGCTACAGCTGCTTGTTTTACTTCTATGCCCTGGGAGAACCATTGGGTATAACATGAGTAATGCACGTTTGAAAGAAGGGTTAGATGATAGCAGGTAAATGATGTGGTTCTGAACACCTGTATGAAGTGAAACAGAAAGTTGACTTTTAACTTAATTAATTAAATTCTCTTTACCAAAAATATCTTCTTAGGTAGCACTTGGAATAAAAACCACACTTGTGGCTGAAACTTTAGTGTACTCACCTGAACAGAGTCTTAATGATCTAAAGTCTCATTTATAAACAGAGTACAGATTTAACAATGTCTGTGAAGCTGGAGCAGTATCAGATGTAGTGATGTTTTCCCACTACGTATGGAAATGGTTGTACTAGCTCAAGTTCTTTAAAAGTAAAATAATATTTGTAATGTGTATATTCCAATGTAAAATATATTTTTGTTTACTCATTATTAATGTTCAGCATGACCTAGATCTATGTAATTAAGTTAAAAACTTGTTAATTTTTTTCAGCAAACGTAGCTGTTTAAAGTCATTAAAGTCTAGAATTAAACCAAGTGAAATGTGCTAATTGATGTCAGAATGGATATGGAACCTCAAAGGTATCTTTAATGGCCTAATCATCAGTTTGAATACTAGGTTAGTTACTGGAGGAATAACTGTTTGGAAAATAAAGTAAAAGTAACAATAACTTCTGTAGCTAATTGCATTCCTTGAACTAATAAAGTCTAAGTTATTTATGTAAATTGGTCACACTTTTTTTACCATGTCAGGTAAATATATTTAAAAATGTATTAAGTATTAAAGTAGCTTTCATCTAAGATTTTTTTTTGTTGCTGAACTGAAAACAATACTAGCTGAAAGCTTACATCACTTGGTCTTCTAAAATGCTGTCTCTTTCTATTTTGCAGCATGGGTGAGCTCTCTTTCAATGGGGATGGTCTTCTTCTGTTCTCCGATAGTCAGTGTATTCACAGATCTGTTTGGTTGTCGAAAAGTAGCTGTTATTGGAGCTGCAGTGGGGCTTGTTGGACTCCTTTCAAGTTCTTTTGTAAGGTAAAAAATTCCTTTCTTTATATTCCAAGTATTTTATCAGTTTTACAGTGCAGAGGTAATGCTGATCCTATCACCAGAATATGAAGGATTAAGCAGTGCTACTTTATATTACCTGCTAGAGTAGAAACCTTGTTTTGTTTTGTATAAATACATCAACAGCAAGACTAATGCTATTAGATCAACAGCATTGTCCTGCGTAAACTTGTACGTTTTCTTGATGTATGCTGTGTTTTTTGCAGGTACATAAACATTGTTTTTGTTTTCCCCCTGCTGCCCTGTTGCCTCAATTTGCTTTTAAAACACTGTTTTAACATTGATAAATATGCAGTGGGACCTCCAGGAAGGTGTTAATGCTCTAGTAAAATGTGATGTGTTCTTCTATTCTTACTAGTCCAATTGCCAAACACACAGATAGTTAAAACCTTGGTGAAATGACATGTACTTAGGGCTTATTGGCTTTATTAAGAAAATCTTAGTTTGTTCTTGTGTTAATGAAAAAAGTTGAACAGTAGTAAAGTGGTTTTTTCCTCCAGATTACACTTCATTTTGTACGTTTCTGTAACTCTTGCAGAATAAAACCTAAGAAGTTCAAGAGCGGCAGATTTGTTGGACATGCCCACTAGAAGATGATGAAACAGGACATTTACTCACTTACTCTAGTCATCAGCAGATATTGGTTAGTGAAGATAGGGTAAGAACTAGGAGGAAAATAAGCCACAGCTACCTCTAGTTCTCAGTCTGCTTTTCCCTCCACCCTTAGCAGAGTAAGTATAGGAACAAAGAGAAGCAAAATTCAGAAGTTTCCTACATAGGTGAAAATGTATCTGTACAGAGGCTTGTGAAAATGTATTTTCTACCCCTGTACTCTGAGGCAGATAGATGTGAACTGGTGGTGATCTGGATGGATGAATATCCATGCTGTGTGGCACTATGCCTGAGCTAATATGTCTAGTTTGGGCATATGTCCCCTAAGGTGAAAACAAATTTTCAGGAAGAAAAGAAATAGTTCTGTCTTGGGTACTGAGACTAGTTTTTATATTTATTACTGGAATAACATTTATGGCAAAAAGAAAGCTTTGTTTTCTTGTTACATGAGCAAGTTCATGGTTTTCATTTTTATCTTTTGGTTAATCAAAGTGCAAATATTTTTATTAATTTGTATTACTAAAGCAAACAAAAACACACTTCCTGATATGTTTAAGAGGCTTGTTTCCCACAGGTGAGGTAAAAACGAAAAGAATATATCTTGGAAAAGTTTCCTCCTCCTTGCTTCCCAGTAGTGTCTTAAGTGATGAATACTAAAACTGTCTCATTATTGTAAATTAAACTTATCTATAAAGGAAACGCGTTTTCTTCCTTTGAACAGAATGCCATCATCCTTCTGTTCCCTTGTTCCACTGGGTATCAGGGAAACACAAGAAGCATGCAAAAGGAAGTTTTGTGAAGGCTTTAAAAATATTTTAGCTTATTTGAATTATTTTTTTGAGAATTTGAGGTGCACTTTGAAAGGAGACTTGATTTTTCTGGGTTTGTGAGGAGTGTTAGTATTACTTTGGAACTGCTAGCACAGTGAAGAAATGTGTAAATCAAAACAATATAATTTTCTTTGGAAAAGAAAAAAACAAAAACTCAGCAATGGTTGAACTTATATTTGGCTAATTTACACTGACAACGATTCTTAAAACTTTTAGTCAGACTACTTGGTGTAATTATACTTAAATATAGTTTTGCTTTTTTACCTGTTCAGTGAGTTCTATGAAGTTTTCAGTGGAAGAAAATAGAATAGTTGCTGAATTAAGCTGACATAGTGTATTTCAACTATAAGTATGTACAAAGTCTTAACTCACTTTTGTAAATATGTCAATTCATTGAAAAGCTGTCTTGCATATTGTAGGTGAATGTGCGCACATAGTGTACAAAACACTAATTTTTTTTTTTTTTCTTTTGATGTAGCACCATCGAACCTCTGTATTTCACCTACGGAGTCTTATTTGCCTGTGGCTGCTCGTTTGCTTACCAGCCATCCTTGGTCATTCTTGGGCACTACTTCAAGAAACGCCTTGGACTAGTGAATGGCATTGTCACTGCAGGCAGCAGCTTGTTCACTGTGTCACTGCCCTTCCTCTTGAGAGTTTTGATTGATTCTGTTGGCCTTTACAACACCTTGCGGGTCCTTTGCATCCTTATGTTTATTCTGCTCCTGGCTGGCTTTACATACAAACCCCTTGTTTCCGATGCCAAAGACAAGGAGGGAGGAAAGAAGGGAAAGTTCAGATTTCCTCCTGAAAAAAAGATTTGCAATTTCTCAGTCTTCAAAGTTCTCAGTTACCGAATCTGGGCTTTTGGGATCCCAGCTGCACTCTTTGGATACTTTGTGCCTTATGTTCACTTGGTAAGTACACGTTTCTTCCTATGTAGGGTGTATTTAAAATGGCAGTTTTTTCCTTTTGTGTTATGGACGAAGAAAATGATTGGTGATAGAAGGCAACATTTAAAGTGCAAGTTGGGGAGAAATTAATTTTGATGTCTGTGACTAAGAGGGCTCTAATCAGAATTATTAGTTGAACCAGTTAAAATTTTAGTTCCTTGTTCTCAGTCTAAGGTTTAAACTACTTTAACAATGAAAAGAGACATTTGAAAAGTATTCTGTACTATTCCAAGGAGAATTCTTTATTTTGGTACTCGGCTACATACATGGGCAATGATACTTGTGTATTTCAGAAGAATAACGGAAGGAGTAAATAATAGAAAATGAGTAAAGCTTCTAATTTTTTTCCTTTAAATTGAGGTATGTTTGTTAATATATGCATTTTTAGTGTATATTTTATTGACTATTTTCCAGGTTTATTAAAAGCAAAATACTTGGATTATTCTGTGTCTCAATCTCTAGCTTTGTAGCACTAATATAACTGATCCTGTTACTGGGTGCTTCTAGCTGCTAATTCAGATGGTTTTTATTGCTGTCTACAGTAACTGATAAATCTTAAGCTTCTGATGATGGGGGAGCTGTCAATCACCCATTTCTTATACAGGTATTAAAGTTAATTTGTTTCCCTAGCAGATTTTTTTTTTGTGGTATACTGTTAATCTAAGAAATTTTGATGCAGCTGGGAGATAAATTTCATTTAATGCATCTGGCTGACACTCATTGCACTACTTACTCAAATGGTGAATTATTTTTGAATGGCTTCCTGTTAGTGCTGTCTAAACTGAAGTGGTTCAAACCAAAAGGCTTAAAAAGGAAAGGGGGGGGAAGCCCATAACCTGCAGTGGGATCCTCTATTAAGACCATTGCACATCCTCATATTGAAGAGGATTTGATAAAGAGCATGGACTGTGAAAACAGAAGGATCATATTAATATTACTCATCCCTGAGAGAACAGTAAGATTAATGATAATAAATGTCTTGAATTATGTCAAAAGTCTTCAACTCCTTGAAAGCCCGTGGGTTTGTATGCAATACAGCAAGTGGTGTCACTGCTTTCTGGTAATACATTGGTTAGATTACTAACTCTGCATCAGATATTTACTTTAAAAATTGCCTTAGGGTGGGGGATGGTTTGGTTTTGAGCAGCCGTAAACTGAATTTTATTCGTGGCTAGTTCTTGTTGCTTAATTTTTAATTGTGTAGATCTTCTATAACACTTACAGTTAAATGATTTCAAAGGACTGTACAATCGGATGATGAGTATTGTGACATCTTATGCTATTTCCCCATAAGTTTTGTAGAGATATTTTGAAATAAAACGGTGTGCAGAATAGCAGAAGGGAAGTGTTGTAGAGAAAGCTATTGGATAATCGTACATGATCGTTAACACTTGCAGAGAGCTGAAGAACAAGGCTATGCAGGTAGTCACATAGAACCTCTAAAACATTTCTTTAACAAAAAGCTTGTAACTTCTTACTAAGACATTTGTAAGAATGCTTCTTGTTTCTAGATTGGACTAAAGCTGCTGGCTGACTTGTAGAGGACAAAACCCATTGTATGTCTTACATTATTTTTCTTTTTATAATGTGCTTTCACTCCCGTTGAGTGCTTTTTTCCCTCGTATCAGATTGGCACAAATTCTGATTGTGAAATACAGCTCCAGTACAGGAAAACAACTTGTTATCAGGCGTTATATTAGAAACACCCTTGATCATTATAAAACTATTCCAAAGTGCAGTTGGTATCTAATATTTTAAAGATTACCTCAGAATTATACTAAGAGATTTAAATTCCAACATTATTCCTCTGAATCTCTGAGAAAAAAGAAGCTTAATTATTTATAACAAAATCTTCAATGACAGTTTGCTTTGTATGCCACTTCTGAGAGGGGAAGCTTCATCAGCTCTTAGGAACTTTTCACTGATAAGTTCTATTACCAAAACCCCCTCCTGAAACCCACAAGTTCCTGTCTTAATTTATTTGTCTCTTACTCAATTTTACTGCATAATCTCTGGTCCACCTGTAAATCAGACAGGAAAATCTTAAACAATGTATAGTAAGCTCCCACTACTTTTATTTAAAACCATTCTAAACAAGAAGCTTAGCTTTCATTCTTGGCTTTGCAGATAGCATTATTAAATGGAAAATAGCTTGTTTTTTTCTTCAATCTTTTAAAACATCTGATTATAATTCAGATTTCTATCAAAAAATCTAATCTAGGTACCTTTCAATATACGCAAAGAATCTATGGAGGATTGAGGTGCTACTTAACTTGTGCTATGCACCCAGGACTCTTGACCGTACTCTGAAATATTTAAAGCCTAGACCAAACTTTGATCAGTGAGTACGGTAGGTAGGGATGGTAAGAAACAGTATGAATTGGAATAAAATTTCATGTGGTTATACTGATAAAGAAACTATGTAGGTACTATCAATGTCAGATTTCTGTTTGCTTATGTATATGGTCCATTAAGTACTATATAAGTACTCACTAATCTTTAAGAAAGCTTGACATGCAAATAGTTTAATAAAATAATCCCTAGCTTTACTGATGTTGAAATGGAAAACTAAAACTTGAATTTCATACATAACAGTATTTCCACTTCCAGAATGTGTAAGATTTTTTCTAACCTTCAGTCTTGGATAAGTAATCAGGATGAAAATTGCTTAATATCTGCAGGTCACATATGTAAGATTATTTTACAATTATTTTGTATGTGATTGCCAAGGATGAATGTATCTTCAGTAGCAGAAGTCTTTGACAGAAAGCAGGGGTTCAAATCTGTCTGGGTTGGAGAATGCATTTGTAGGACTAACAGTAAACTTGCTGCTTGGGGCTTAAAGAATGAAGTGTTCAAGTGTTCACACAGCTAAACTCGCCAATTCTGTAATTATTTCTACATAAACCTAAACTCATTCGAGAATTTAGGTCTGCTTTTAGAACTAAGCAAACACTCATCCCTCTAACTCAGACTTAATTATTTCAAAAAGAAGGGAAAACCTTTTTAATTGAAAGGTATTTTTATGAAAACACAAGTAAGTGAAGAACCATAGCATTTATTGCTGGTGGGCAATGGTGTACGCTAGGGGGACTGTTTAGAACCTTAGGAAGTCTTTCTGGATTTGTATTTGAGAAAGTGAATAGATCAGTGTTTGTGAAGGGCAGAATCCATGCTGTTCCTTCAACACAGATACTTCAACTCCAGTAGATGGAACAGCATGGATTCTGCCCTTCAACACAGATACTTCAACTCCAGTAGATGGCTCTGGACTTTATCCCAGTTTTGTCTACTTTTGATAAAAACCACATTTTTTTAATGTAATTCCAGAAGTACATAAAAGTGCGTACTTCCAGATAAGTCAAAGGCTATAAGAAAAAAATAACTTTTTGCTAGTACATTTACCAAACCAGAGATTACTTTCCTTAGCTTTTGAAAATGAAAGTTACTATTGTTCCATTATTTACTGCATTTTAAAAATTGTAGCAGTACTGGAAAACAAGTGACAGCTTTTGTTATGCTAAAACTCTTGACATTTTGGGTTGGCTGACAATAGCCAGACTGCTAGAATGGTATGTTGGTTGTAAGTGCCCTAAGAAAAAACACTTATATGTGGAGCCTCATGCCTACAACTCTTCCTTTAGCCCTCAGACATGATTTCTGTACTTAAGTTCCATTTTTCCCACCTGGAAAGGCAGTTTCTGCCAGAGTGTTGGGTGCTCTTGACCATGTGGTGAAACACAGGTGCCACAGGCCCTACTCATTAGGGTTGTGCATCACCACTTGGGCCCGTGGTAACTGGAGGCTGCAGACTTGATGTGCTCCAGACATTGCACATCAGCTGCTGTCTGCTGGCTTGGCACAGCGGAAGAGCTCCTCAGGTCCCAGGCAGGGTTTCTGCTTGTCTCTTGTTTTCTGAAGCATATTGGAAAGGAGTATGTATGTTTTGAAACTTGTAGTAAGAAAGGAATAAAAGCTCATTTTGGACTTTGGAATAATAGAATTAGCCAAGCCTTAGCAATTTTAACCAGCTGCACTGTATTTGCCTAGATAAAGTAAAAGTTGTTAAAACCAAAGAAAATAACCTGCTCATGAACTAGGCTCTAACTAAAATTAAACAAATCGACAAATTAATTATATGGCATGCTAGATGGTTCATATCAAGGAGCTGGCAAGAATTACCAGTCAGGGACTGGTAGGTATCAGCTGCATGCAAAAGTATCACATTCCTCCTGGCTCTTGTAGGAAAGAACTAAAAAGGGAGTGCTTTTCTTATCCTAGTTTAATTGGTGTCAAATTCCATTAGTAGGTGTTCTATTCCATGTGATTTCTGGGGAATTGGGTTGGGAGAAACACTATAAATAGGTTTTGACTTAATTTTATTATATACTTTTAGAGTTAATTCAGAATGTTGAATAGCAAGCTGATAATTTATAGGATTACTAAATCAAACAGCTGTTTTTCCTCTGCATTTTAAATCCAGTCTAAATTTGCAGTGACTGGAAGTTTTTTCTTTTGATGTCTCTCTAAAATAAGCCAATAGCCAAATAAAAAAAACCCTAGTTTAGTCCATTCAGCTTTAAATTGTTAGTTGACATGCTGAACACTCTTCCCAAGCTGTTTTTAATAAGGACTTATCTCACAAGAAATGATTAAGCGTATTTGAATATTAAATACATTTGAAAGAAAGTATACCTCGTCTGTGTCACTTGACCTGTGCTTGTTCTGCTAATAAACAGAGAACAGTTTTCCAGGAATCGGTCTAATGTTAAGTGTTTAGTGCTGTTCTCTCTTACCCTTTAAAAAGGTTTGTACTTAATCAGGGTCATACATCCTTAATTCTTATGAGTTTGTTAGGTCAATTCTCTTAAGATTTGATATAAGGTAACATGTTAGGTAGCTTTAAGATATGCTGTTGCTTTTTGTGCTTTATTTAGCAGGGTGAAAAGAAATAATGCTTAAAA